TTCTATGATTCTATGATTCTATGTCAAAGGGCAGGAGGAGAGATGCAGGAAGGAATTTGGTGCCAGACAGGCCTTGCTGTGAGCCAGCACAACTGGCTTTGCCTGATCATGGGATCGTGTCCAATCTGCTTGGGTGTAAAGCCCAGCCTGGGTCTGTGCCACGCCAGAGATGCTCCTGGGATCCTGGGTGTGCCAGTGGCAGGATACTTCTGGTGCTCCCTACTCCTGCAGAAACAGCTGTGACAGTGGAAGCTGGTGCTTGCTGCTCTGCTTGACACCTCTGTGCTTGGCTTTCCTGCCTCAGCACCACAGGAGGAGGCTCTGTGGTTATCTTGCCTGTCACAAAGCCAGTGCACTTGTATGGTTAAGTCCTTTTGATGAAAGCTGGGCAGGGCAGAAGGATTAGGATACCTGGAGGTATCTTTTTTTGTGGTGTGCAGGGTTTCCCAGTGGAATGCCAGCGCCATCTTATAGAGCATCATTGAAGATTAAAGCACTAAACTTCTGCAGTGAAACCACAGGCTTAACTAGCTGTGACGCAGGTCAAGCCTGCAGGCTGCAAGTCATTCCTGTCTCCTGCTAGTGCTGTCAGCTGCCCCTGAACCTCTCAGAGTTTGCTGCATTTTCAGGCTCTCTGAGCCTAGGGACTCTGCTCCAACCTGGCACAAAACACTGCTTTGGGGAGCTGAAGTAGAGAGACCTCTGCTTAGAAAGAGCTGTGCTTAAGGAAGAGCAACTCATGAGCCTGCAACACTATCCCCTCTGCAAAGTCCCAGCAGTTTCACAGATGTTTGGTCTCTGTGGCAGGAAGCAGCTCAAATCCTTTAACTTCTGTGTGGAAAGGAGCTTTATGTGGTGATGGCCTTGGCCAGGCCTTTCCCTGGAGTTGGCACTATGCTGAAACTGCACCTGGAGCCTTTCCAAGATGCTGTGCATGGTGCCTGGGCACACCTAGACCACAAAGATACACTGGAACGGTGCTCATTCAGGCCAGCTTTCCCCTGTCCTCTACCACACTGCAGAGCTCTGCTTTTTCAGCCCAGCTGAGGTTCTCTGCTACTGCTGCATGCAACTGGTTGCTGCCAGAAGCTTGCAGCCTCTCCAGGTAGGTGAGAGAAGTGCCCTGGTAGGTGTCCAGTTTGGCTAATTCTCCCAGAAGAGACCCACTCAGCATTCCTACTTATGCTCTAAGCAGCTAATGGCAAGGAGAATTGGGATGCTAAAGCCAAGGGATCATCTGTGCCTGGAGGAGCAAGCGACAGCAAGGTTTGCTCGCCACGGACTCCTTTGCTTTTGAAAACCAAACTGTCCCTGTGGGCAAAGCACAGTGCAGCTCCAGAAAGTCTCCGAGGCAGCTCCAGCCCCAGCCTCATGCTGTGGCTTGTGCTGAGACCCTGCTGTGCTGGCAGGGAGCAGAGCTGGGGGTGCAGTGGGGAGGGGGCTAGGCAGGGGGTGGTGGCACATAGAGCCAGTTACTCTCCCAGTTGCCCGCAGTGCACATAAGCCAGGATGTTCCTCTAGCGATCCCTGGAGCCTTCCTCACACTCTGCCTGCACTTGCTCCTCTGCAGAAGCAGATGAAATTCCTGGAGCAGCAGCAGGAGGATAACAGAAGTTCAAAGGAGGAGGCCCGTCGCCTGCGGAACAAGCTGAGAGCCATGGAGCGGTGAGATCCTGGGCTCTTCCTGGGCCTTCCAGGCTGGGCTGCCTGCCTCTGCCTCCCTCAGAGAGGGAGGGAGAGGTCTGGCCATGCCTGCTGTAACATCCCCCTCCACATCCTGGGTCATCTTGCCCCCATAAGGTTGGAAACTGCTGCATTAACTGGCTGGTCCTTGCTTGTCCATGCTTTTGCCCCTGTTATGCTTGCAGGTGGCTGCTCTTGTAAACAGCAGCAAGGCTGTTTGGGGACAATAGATGCAATAAGAGGAAATAGCCTCAAGTTGCACTGGGAGGTGATTAGGTTGGATATCAGGAAATATTTCTTCCCTGAAAGGGTTGTCAAGCCCTGGAAGAGGCTGCCCAGGGCAGTGGTGGAGTCCCCATCCCTGGAGGGGTTTCCAAGCTGTGGCGATGTGGTGCTGAGGGACATGGGTTACTGGGGACATGGCAGTGCTGGGTTAGTGGTTGGGCTTTGTGATCTTAGGAGGTCTCTCCTCCAAGTGAAATTACTGTGATTCTAAGGCATGGCACTGTGTACAGACTGGCCTCATCTCCAGTGCTCTGAGTATGGCTGTGTACTTTTCCCAGAGGCCTCTGGGGCAGAATCCCAGCCCAGGAATGCTGTTACATCCAGAGCTATATGTGCCAGAGTTGTGACACTGGCCCTGTATGGTGTGTATGTGCAGCTGCCCCTTCCCTAGGCTGTCCACATAGTGCCACTCCTCCCTCACAAAAAGCCCTGATGGTGGTGGGGCTGTTGTCTTCCCCCTCAACACCCAGAATGCCTGCAGCAGGAGCTTGGGCTGCACCAGCTCTCTGGGGGCAAGCAGGGCTCCAGTTTTTCCCAGTTTGCTGTTTGTGATTTATGAGCTGAGAGCAGGATTTTATTTTGGTGCAGGATTGAGCTGTTGCTTCAGAGCCAGCGCCCCGAAGTGGAGGAGATGATCCGAGAGATGGGTGTCGGGCAGGCAGCGGTGGAGCAGCTTGCCATCTACTGTGTCTCACTGAAAAAGTAGGTGCTGTGGCCTTGGCACAACCAGCTTGTGGATGTGCCCAGGGAGAACCCTCTACTGAGTACCTTTGAGGTGTTGAGGGTCGTTCCCTCCGCTCCCCTCTCATGCCCAGGGGGAGGCCGAGGGCCTCTGGTTTGTACCTGTGCTGCCGTGGCCTCCAGCACTCCCTGGCAGGGCAATGCTGCAGTGCTGCACTCCCCCACCTGGAAATCCAGCTGGTCCTGCTGGGCAAAACCACAGCTGCTTTTTTTTTAGGGTCCGTTCTGATGGCAGCTGAATAATTGCAGCTTTGATACAAAGCTGTAATGAGGGAAGTGGCCCTGTGGTGTGATTGGGAATGAATGAGCATGGCCAATAGTGTGAAGTCTGAAAAGTCACTTAAAGCAAAGTCGCCTATTTGCTGCCAACATGGAAGCTGCTCTGTTGTCTTTGTTTTTTCCACTGGCAACTGAAATGTCTCTGGATCTGGTTTCCATGTTGCTGGTGAAATCTGTTCAAGCCCTGTTCTCAGGCTTGGTAGCCCATGCAGCTTTTTCTCCCCCATGGTGTGACACCCTGGGTGGCATACTCAACTCTGTTCCCTAAAGGGCTTGGTGTCTCCTGGGTTTTCTCTGGTGGCCCTGCAGCTGCAGAGCTTCAGATCAAAGGTCTTGACTTGTCTCCGAGAAAGTTTTTGCTCAGTCTTCTCGCAGTCAGTGTGACTCCTCTGCTCTCTTTGCAGGGAATATGAAAACCTGAAGGAGGCTCGGAAGATGTCTAGTGAGACGACAGAGAAGCTGAAGAAGGAGCTGTTTTCTGTCAACAGCAAGGTAAAGGGAGTGTGTGAGACAGCAGGGTGACATCTGGTCTACAGATCCTGTCCACAGCTGTGCTCCAAGCCCTCTGCAGTGACCCCCTCCCCCTACACTGAGTACTACCTGAGTGAGATGGGTGGTGTGGAAGTGTCAGGCTGGGGTTTCTGGGTCAGGGTGTGGTGCTGCAGTAAGCAAGTGGCTCATGAGCTGCTGTCAGGTGTGCAGTCCCTGGGAACACCAGTGGGGCAGCATGTACAGAGCCAGCTAGAGTTTGGCAGGGAGCCTGGACTGGAAAGCAGCAGCACACAGGTGCTCTGCTGCTTCCACTGGCTTCTGGAAGCAGTTCTGCCTTCGCCCTGCCATGCTGCTGAGTGTGTGCTAGCTCAACTGCCAGCCCCTCCTGTTGCAGAATTGGGGTCCTAGGAGTGGTGGGAAGGGGTTTGGAGCCAGCACGAGTTGAGCAGGGCTTAGCACTGCCTTGGCACAACCAGAGTCATGCACAGCCTTGTGCCTTCAGCTGACTGACCTGGGCCAGGGCTCCCACAGGGTGCTCTGCCCAGGCAAGAGAGGTTCTCAGCGTGCAGTGGGGACAAACAGGTGGCTCTGCACAGAGCCTGCCTGGGCTGGCCCTGACCTGCTGCAGAGCTTGGAGCTGCTGACGTGCCTCTGTTGCTGTGCTTCCCCTGTGCCAGGCCTGGCTGGGCTCTGTTCAGGTAGCAAATCACTTTTTGTCAGTGCTGGTGGCAAGTGCCCATGACAAGTGTGTGTGTGTAGCCCTGCTCTCCCAGGTGCAGGTGTTCCCTGGGGCACTCCTGTGCCCAAGCTCACGAAGTGAGAGACTGTGGGTGGATTTGGCCTAGTTTTGTTACTCAGCCCTAGCTGCTGTTGTCCCTTCAGATGAAGGAGGAGGCTCTTAGATTGCTGTATTCTTCCCCAGGGGTGTTAAAACCCCTGTCGGAGGTGCTGCTGCTGGGTTCAGGCTGGGTTAGTGCTGAGCTGCAGCTCGGGTGTGAGTCAGTGCACTTGGGGCTCCAGCCTCAGCTGACAGAGAGCTGACTATACCCACACTGATGCCTGAATCCACCCAAGTCTTTCATGTGGGAACAGTCCTCCTCTCAACCCCTGTTCCTCATGTGCTTCCCTGGTGAATCAGGCTTGTCTGTGTGCCAGTCCTCCTGATACACAACCATTCTCCAGCCTGTGGTTGGTAATTCCTGTGGTCTGGTGTGTCCAGAGTTCTGCAGGAATTCAGAATGCAGCCACCAAGTGTTAGAGGAGGGAAGAGCTGTCACCATAAATGCTCAGGAAATGCTCTAGGAAGGCTTGTGTTGGGCAGGCAGCCCTGGAGATCCCTCTGCAGGCAGCTTGAGGAAACGGGCAGGGATTTGGCTGCTCTGATACAGGGGAGACTGGGCAGAGAGGAAAACAGCCCTGAAACAGGGGAAAGTAACATGTGCTGCAGAGCATACTGCTCTCACAGAGCATCTGCAACCTGCCTTACCTATGTGTGGTAACCAGCACTCTGCTGTTTGGGGGGTTTGTTCTGCAGCTACAGAAAACAGTTTCAGAGCTGGACAAGACAAAGGAGGAGTTAAAAAGCACACAGAAGGATCTGAAGAATGCAGACAAGGAGATCTTGGTGAGAATATAATTCCTTGGGCTGCAGTAACTGGCAGCTGGCCATGACCTGCAGCTGCAAAGCCAGGAGTTGTGCTGGCTCTTGCTCGGTGGCTAGGTCATCCAGCCCACCTTACCTCTCTTCTACCCACCCTCTGAGCTCCACCTGATCCTCACTTATGGAAAAAGGGCAAAGTATCTGCCACTGAACCTCTCCTTCTCTTGCTGTCTGCTTTCCCTTCTCCCTCCAGAGTTTGAAGAAGAAAATAGACATCCTGCAGGATACTCTGAAGGTCCCCTCAGTAACCAGAGAGACACTCAGTCGACTAGTCTTTGAAAGGTTAGTGAGGTGTGTCCTCAGATACAGGCTAAGGATGGAGATGGCAGGTCCAAGGTAAGACCTGACAAGTTAACTAGCTGGGAAGGCAGAGATGTGCTAGTCTGACAGGTATTGCAGTAGCATGGTCACTTTGCCCCTTGTATCCTCTTTTTTTTTTTTTTTTTTCTTGTTGCTGGTGAGGTAGTGTTTGGTGTACCTGGAAAAGTGTGTGTTTTGGAGGGCTTGGGTCAGGATGGGATGGAAGAACGGGGTAGGTTTTGACAAACTTTGCTCCTGTGTCCTACCACAGAAATATCCCTGAAGCTGCCCTTCTAGTTGCCTCAGAGATGGCCTTCCAGTGAGCATGCCCTGGTGTGTTAGGGCGACTGGAGATCTTAGCCAGGCAAAGCAACCTAGCGTGCAAAATGGCATCTGTCACGTTTTTATCAAGCAGTTTCTTGTGAGGAGCCTGTGCTGCTCCCCCAGCACAGCAAGCTGGGTTGTGCACTCAGTGCAGCCCTGTGCTGGTGCATTGCCCTGAGTGCTGCTGCCACAGCACAGGCCATTCCAGGGTGAGTGGGGGTTTGGGACATTGGCTATAAACTCTGGGATTTGAGTTGTCCTTTCTGTGACTTGCAAGCAGAACAGGGCTCTGCTCCTGCTCCCGCTGCTACCTTGCCGCTCGATCACGCAGCTCAGTCCTTCCTCTGTCCTTCCTCTCGCCTGCCGGGTGGCAAGTGGTGGCCTCCTGATGGCTAATGCTTTGCACGGCCTTGCAGCCCCACTCCCATGGAACTGCGGCACCCGAAGCTCCACTGCCCGGCCCACAGCGATGAGATCAATTTAGATGCTACTTTTGATGTGGACACCCCTGAACACGAGCCCTGCAGATCTCTCTGCGGCCCTGCAAAAAGGCAGAAGCTGGATAAAAAGCCGTGAGTTTTCCCTCCTCTTTCTGCTTCTAAAGGAGATCAAAGTCTTGCTGCTTGGGAAGTTGCTGTGTGAAATCAGATAGCTCTCCAGCTGCCTGATGTCATGCTGCAAGTTTTGCTGTCATTTGTTTGGCCTTGCCTGTCCTTGCCAGCTTCACTTGAATAATAAATCTCTGCTGATTTGCTCCTTGGGCTTCTTACAGGCCTCCTGTGGTAAATCTGGCGAAGAAAGTTCTGAAGGAAACAGTGGAGGTAAAAGGACTCGTCTTGATTTTTCTGTATCATCTCTTTGATCCTGTTGTTAATAAGCTTGGGACAAAGGCCCAATTTTCTCCATGTAGCAGATGCTGTGACTGTAGACCAGCCCATCTACAGAACCACAGTACATGCTTCAAAGTGCTTTGCTTGACAGTTTCCTAAGAATCACTGCATTGTTGCCTCAGTCGTTCTGGAACTGGGCAGGAGAGGGAGGATGGGAACCCTTATGCTTCTGGCCTGTTATCCTGCCTCGGATGTGCTCGGCAAGCACTGTGGGACTGACCACGAGGGCTGTGGAGTTCAGCTGAGCTGAGGGGGCTGTTCTTCCAGCCTTGCTGGGTGCACTGTCCTGCCTTCCAGGTGTTGTCACACATGGGCCACAGTTGGGAGGCTTGGAGCTGCTATTCTCTGGCCTGACACGTGGCACAGCAGTAACCATTATCCTAAATAGCTGTCTGTGTTATCAGTCCTCCCTGTATGTGGACTAAATTCAGCAGATCATGCTGGTTAAAGGGCTTTCTCATTATTTTGTGGAACAGAATTGGGAGGATGATCTGGAGGATGATGCTCTTAAAGGACTCTTGCCAGCATTCATCAGGAACTCTGTTCTCTCCAAGAAGCCATCTTTGGGTAGCTTGCTGGGTCCACACAAGAACACGGGCACTGTAAGTATGACTGTCCAGTTGGTGAGCTTGTCGAGGGCTGGCACTGGTCACCTCTGTCCTGGAGTGACCCTACAGGAGGGAGCAAATACAGCTTGAGGAAAATAAATCTTGGAGCACAGCCTGGCTACTTCCCAGTCCTGCAGAGCTCCAGGGATGACAGATGCTCATTTCCCTTCCTGGCAGCAGACTTCTAAATGGCCCTCCATGTCCAATTCCTCCACTTCCTTACAGATTGCGTGTTTTCCTTGTATTCCTCTGTCCCAGTGACAAAACCCTAAGAGCTGCTGTTGCTTGCAAGGCTCAGCTTACTTCAGAAAGTGCCTAAGATATCTAAGTTTACTAATACCCCTAGGTCTGTCCTTTTCCCAAGGGTAAGGACTTGGCACAAGTACTGAGTGTTTCCAGGTGCTGGTAACCCCTCCCTAGAAGCTGTGGCCTGCAAAGCTCCCCCTTCCCCATATCAAGAAGAGGTAGCCAAGGCTCTGTGCTGCTGCTCCAGTCTCATTTCTTCCTCTCTTCCAGGTGAGGATGGGGTACGATGGCTTGGGAGGCAGAACAAAGTTCATACAGCCTGTATCCTTCCCTGCAGCTCGCATGGCTCTAGTGGTGCTGTGGAGATGTCATCCCTTTTCCTCCTCTTTGGTCTTGGTCATCTTGGAGTCCTGCCCACCAGTCAATGAAAACATGGGCTAGGACCTTCAAGGAACCATTGGATTTCTCTCCAGCTCTGAACAAGACTGAACATGACAAAGGCATCAAGGACCTGAACTTGCTGAGACTATTGTTGGAGGTGGCTAGTTCAGAGGAGCATAGCAACTAGAAATCAGTGCAATTTGCAGGGGCTGCCTGTGCCCTTGGGATCTGTGAGCAGCAGCAGAGTGCAGCCTCCTCCTGGCTGTGTGCCTGTTAGCCCCTGCAGCCAAAGCTTTCCTGCCTGCAGGGTGCTGGTGCTGCTGCTCTGCTGTGCCTGTCCCAGTGGGCAGCCCTGGGCAGGTGAGGAACCTTTAGTTTCTTCCCTGAAAGGGTTGTCAAGCCCTGGACCAGGCTACCCAGGGCAGTGGTGGAATCCCCATCTCTGGGGGGGGACAAAAGCCATGTAGATGTGGTGCTGAGGGATGTGGCTTGGTGGTGACTTGGCAGTGCTGGGGTAGTGCTTGGACTTGATGGTCATAGTGATCTCTTCCAAGCAGAATGATTTGATGGGCTGAGCTCACCCAGCAGGTGAGGAGCTGCTCTGTCTCCCACCCCTCATGCAGGAGCAGTGTCCCCTCCTCTGTGGAGCTTGCCCCTCACCTGCCACCCCAGGCAGTGGTGTTAGAGTGGGGCGTGGTGCACCTATGGCTCTGACAGTGCTCTAGCTCCTGGTGCTGGTTTTGAGGAGGTTTTAACTCTTCAGGAGGCTGAAGCAGAGAATAAATGGTCAGCTGAAAGATGTGACCTGCTGGGGAGCTTTGGGATTTAGATTAGACATTAGGAAGAAGTTCTTTGCTCTGAGAGTGGTGAAACACTGGACCAGGCTTTCCCAGAGAGGTTAGTGGAGGCCACATCTCTGGAGACATTCAAGGTTAGGCTTGATGGGGCTCAGCAACCTGCTCTAGTTGCAGATGTCCCTGCTCACTGCAGGGGGGTTGGACTAGATGACCTTTAAAGGTCCCTTCCAACCTGAAGCATTCTATGATTCTTGAACAGCTGCTCTGGTGGCCTCACTGTGGCAGGCTGGAGGTACCCAATGGCAGGGAGATGCTTGAGCAAATCTCTGGGGCCAGATGTGCCCACGCTGCCAGCTTGAGGTGAACAGAGAAGGTGAGCAGTCATCCCAGTGCTGCTGGTCTGTAACCCTGCAGTCCTGCACCTGCCTTTCAGCGCTGCAGTGAGGGACTGGTCAAAACCTGCTACAAATCAGTGAGATTTAATTTCTGCCACTTCTGTGTTTCTAAAGATTTTTCTGATGCTATGGGAGTTCAAAGGGACTTGCTGCTCCAGGGGCTTTTCTTTTGGGATGTCTCTGCTCTGGGAGGCTGCAGGCTCTGGCTGCTGTGCCTTTCCCTGCACAGTGTCCCATTGCTGACACAGGGTGGATCTTGAAGCTGAGGAATAAGCTTAAATGCTATTCTTTGTGCAAGTGGATAACTTCTGGGCTTGTGGGAAGCATTCCTTGACCCATGGGACAGCGACGTGCCTGAGCTCTGCTGCTGTGAGTAAGGGGCAAAGCCCAGCCTCTCCCACAGGGAGGTTTTGGGGTGCAAATGCATGGCTAGGTCCCAGGGCTGTTCAGGCTGGGCTGCAGCAGGTGGATCACCTGTGTTTCCAGGAGCTTGGTCTGTACTTTCCTTGATGGTTTTACCTCCAGACAAACCTGGCAGAAATCCGTCCCATAGCAGTGAGAAGCAAGAGGAAGAATGTCTCCAGGCCAGCATCAGCAGCTCCCTCCACATCTTCCTCCAGCAGCAGCCAAGCCAGTCTGGACAGTTTCCTGCAGTGAGAGCCAGGGAGCAGCTGGGCTGGGTGGCTGCAGGGCAGAGTGTGCTTGCCCACAGAGGCAACCACCGCTGAGCGGGGGCTACTTGCAGAGCATCAACACTGATTGTGGGAGAGATGAGCTGCCCTGAGGAGAATCCTGGCCTCACAGCAAGGTGGCAGGAGACCAAGCCTCTGGCTTCATGCTTGAACTGATTTACCCCCCTCATTTTACTGCTCCTTCCTCCCATTTCCATGAAGAATAAACAGGGTTGTCTCATCTTCTGGCCTGTTCAGAGGCCTGCAGTTGCTGCTGCCGTTGGGCTCCCTGACATCAGGTGGAACTGCACTTCTCGGATGGACCTGCAAAGACCTGGACCAGCTCTGTGCCTGGTGTGAATAGTGGTGGGGGTGACCCTCTGTTCTGCTTGGAAGCAGGGACCTGGGTGTGCTGATGTGACCTCTGTTCTTGACATGTTGGTGCGAAAGTTGTATGAATTTCTAGTTTTTTAAATGAGCTTGTAGGGGTTTGGTTTTGTGACTGGTCTGCCCAGTGATTTGAGGGTTTGGAAGACCTGGAGTGCTGGAGAATGGCTCCTTTCACAGGAGGGGGAGAGTGGGGCTGATCCTGTCTGGAGTTCTTCAGCTGAGACGATCTGAGACAGAAGATCTCATGTCACCAAGACATGGGCAGACTTCAGCAGGTGCCTCACTACAGAACTTTGTACCATGCACATTTCTGCTGTCTCCCACTTCAGGGGCTTTGGGCTCCCAGCCCTCAGTGCCTGGGCTGGCTAAAAACATATCCATAGCGAATAAAATATACTGCTGTGCATACTTGTTAGCACAACTGGCTTCTGAGTGGTTTCCTCTCTACTGCAGCTCTGGGTGGGTTGCTGAGTGGGGGTGATTGATGTGCTTGACCCTTTTGGTGCCAGCTGTCAGGAGATGGGCCCCTAATGTGGGGAAGGGCTGTGGTGGGATGAAGCTGTGATGAAACTGTTGCTGATCCCCAAGGTAGTGAGCAAGGCCAACATCTGCAGAACATGAGCATCACTTTGGGGCTGGACCATGTGAAACAAGTGGAGAGTCTGGAGTAGTGTGAGAAGAGGGGTTCAGAGGGTTGGGAAACAAGCCTGGAGGACTTAAGCCCAGTTAATGCAGGGAGCCTTCTACTGACCCTCTTGCATAGTGCACTCATCTCTGAGGTAGGTACCTGTATGCGTTTTAAAAACCCAAAGTGACAGACTTGCTCTAGATTTCTGCTCTGAAGGAAATTCAGGGTGACCCTTGTAAAAAGGTGGCAGTGAAGGTACACAGAATCCTGCATCCCTCACCAGCCATGCTGGGGTGCTGCAGAGCTGGTGATGGGCTGGTACCTATGAAAGCAGAGCTGTTCCCAGCCTGCTGTGAAGGGACGGAGAAGGGCTTTTTGGGGCTGTCCTGCTCTAGCCCTGGTTTGGGGACCTGTATTTGCACCTGTCCCCTGCTGTGACAGTACCCATGTGAGCCAGCACTTTTTGTGTTCCATTTCTGAGGGGTCTGCTGCCCTCTCCTTACTTTACTCAGATTTTTATTTGAAAATAAACTTATCCTAAGCCGAAGGTCCACCTGCTCTGACTGCAGTGAGCAAAGGAGCTTCATTTTGGTGTTGCTGGGTGTTTGTTCTGCCCAGGTGTTTCCCTCCATCACCCCCCTCACTCTCTTCAGCTGGCATTGCCTGAACCATGTTCCTGGGTTTTGGCACCAAGGCAAGTTTCAGCCAGGGCTGGAGATCCTCGGCTGGGCAGAGCCTGAGCTGGGGCTGCTCAAACCTCTGCTGAGGTTTCAGTGGGTGCTTTGTGCCTGTGTTTGAGGGAAAACAAAAATCCAAACAAAACAGGTTTTCATTTTCTGTTTGGGCCATCTTGTCAGTCCTGATCCCCTGTAATCCATTCTTGCTGCTTTTGGAAGTTGCTTCTGGTGTGGTTTTGTTCTGCTCTACTGCACTTATGCGTCACCCCCCTGAACTGGAGCCTTTTCAGGCTGCTGGGTGCCGATTCAGTGCTGCAGGAGCTGCCTCCCTCCTCCTGACACCCGGCCATGAGCAGGCAGGGCTGCTCCCTCAGCTGGAGACCCAAAAGCTGGTGGGGAAGGGGCTGAGGCCCCTGTCAGAGGGGGCCTGTTGGAGCCAGTGTCTGTTTCTGTGGAGTGGGAGGTGAGACTGGACCCAGTTTCAGGTTTATTTTGGGATTTAGTGTGCGGGTGCTGGCTAAGCCCATGCAAAGCAGCTGCTGGTGTTGGATGCTGGGAGCAGTGTGCCTCTGCCCGCAGAGCTGGTGCTGCTGGAGCTCCTGCGGGAGGCAGAGCCGGGGGGGCAGGGGGTGCAAGGTCTGTCCTGGGGGGTGGTGGGAGGAGCTGTGGGAGTTGTGGCGGATGTTAATTACCGCTGCCTCTCATGACCTAGGGCTGAGGTGTAATTGTGGTGTTCTGGTGTGTGGCAGAAGCCCTGGGCTGGGCTAGGCACTCTCATCTCTGCTCTCTGACCTCAGCAGGCA